AAGGGAATTGAGGAAAGAGAAGGAAAGAAAGCAAAGGAAGGAAAGAGTAAGGGAAAGAAGAAAAGGAATGGAGGAAAGAGAAGGAAAGAAAGTGAAGGAAAGAAAGAGTAAGGGAATTGAGGAAAGAGAAGGAAAGAAAGCGAAGGAAGGAAAGAGTAAGGGAAAGAAGAAGAGGAATGGAGGAAAGAGAAGGAAAGAAAGTGAAGGAAGGAAAGAGTAAGGGATGAGGAAAGAAAGGAAAAGAAGGGAATGAAGGAGAAAAGGTTAGGAAAGAGTACAGGGAAAGAAGCAAGGGAGGGGAGGAAGAGGAAGGAAAGGAAGTGAAGAAGGAAGAAAAAGGTAAGGGAGGAGTAAAGGGGGAAAGGGAGGGGGAGGAAAAGGAAGGAAAGAAGGAAGGAAGGAAGAAAGAGTGAGGGAAAAGAAGGAAGGGAATGGAGGAAAAAGGAAAGAAAGTGAAGGAAGGAAGGAAGGCGTAAGGGAAAGAAGAAAGGAAGGGGAGGAAAGAGAAGCAAAGGAAGGAAAGTGTAAGGGAAAGAGAAAAAAGGAAAGGAATAAAGAGAAGGAAAGGAAGTGAAGGAAGGAAGAAAAGGTAAGGAAGCTAAGGGAAAGAAAGGAAGCAGAGGAAAGAGAAGCAAAGGACGGAAAGTGTAAGAGAAAGAAGAAAAGGAAAGAGAAGGAAAGAAAGTGAAGGAAGCAAAGGTAAGGAAGGCATAAGAGAAAGAAGAAAGGGAGCGGAGGAAAGAGAAGCAAAGGAAGGAAAGTGTAAGGGAAAGAAGAGAAGGAAAGGAGGAAAGAGAAGGAAAGAAAGTGAAGGAAGGAAAAAAGGCAAGGAAGGTGTAAGGGAAAGAAGAAAGGGAGCGGAGGAAAGAGAAGGAATGGAAGAAAGAGAAGGAAAGAAAGTGAAGGAAGAAAAAAGGAGGCAGAAGGGAAGAAGAAAGGGAGCGGAGGAAAGAGAAACAAAGTGTAAGGGAGAGAAGAAAAGGAAAGGAGGAAAGAGAAGGAAAGAAAGTGAAGGAAGGCGTAAGAGAAAGAAGAAAGGGAGAGGGAAGGAAGGAAATGAAGCGAAGGGAGGAAAGAGTAAAGGAAAGAAGAAAAGGAGGGAATGAAAGTTAAAGAAAGAGTAAGGGGAAAAAGAAAGGGAAGGCAGGAAAGGAAGGGTGGAAAAAGTAAGGGAAAGAAAAACAGGAGGTTAGGAAAGAGAAGGGATAGAATGAATGAAAGGAGAAAAGGAAAGGAAAAAAGCAAGGGAAAGAAGAAAGGGAATGGAGGAAAGAGAAGGAAAGAAAGTGAAGGAAGGAATGAGTAAGGAAGGGAAAGAAGAAACGAATGAAAAGAGAAAAATTAAGGGAAAGTAGAAAAGGCATGGAGGAAAAGGAAGGCAAAGGGGTGAAGGAAGGAATAACTAAGGAAGTAAGGAGTAAAGGAAAGCACTGATATTGCGGGATTTCCTGCCTTGATATTCTGGGATATATGGCGGTGTAGAAGGGCCGGAAAGAGTATGAGAAAGAAAAAAAAGAAGGGAGGAAAGAGAAGTGAAGGAGGGAAGAAAAGGTAAGGAAGGGCGAAACGTCAGGAGAGAATGCTTCTGGAACATGGCTCTACAGCTCGGAAAATTCACAGCAGCCCGATGAGGAAAAAGTACGGGAAAGAGGAAAAAGCGTGGAGGAAAGAGAAGGAAAGAAAGAGCGAGGGAAAGAAGAAAGGGAGGAGAGGGAAGAGAAGGAAAGAGAGTGAAGGAAAGGAGAAAGAGAGGGGAAGAAAAGGGAGGGAAAAGGTGAAGGAAGGAAAGTGCAAGGGTAAGAAGAAAATGAGGAGAGGAAAGCGAAGGATTCGAGGCAAGGAAAGAGTAAGGGAAAGGGGGGAGGAAAGGAAGGAAAAGAAAGCGAAGGAAGGAAAGAGTAAGGGAAGCAAGGAAAGGAAGTGAAGGAGGTAAGGAAAGGTAAGGAAAGAGAAGGAGGGGAGGAAAGGGAACGGAAGGAAGTGAAGGAAGGAAGCGTAAGGGAAAAAAGAAATGGAGAGGAGGAAAGAGAAGGAAAGGAAAGGAAGGAAAGGTAAGGAGAGGGAAAGAAGAAAAGGAGAGAAAGGAAAGGAAGGAAAGAAAGAAAGGTAAGTGTAAGGGACTGAGGAATGGGAGGGGAAGAAAGGAAGGAAGAAAGTGAAAGAAGGAAGGAAAGAGTAAGGGAAAGAAGGAAAAGAAGAAAGGGAGGGGAGGAAAGAGAAGGGAAGGAGGTGAAGGAGGAAAGGTTAGGCAAGAGTAAGGGAAAGAAGAAAAGAGAGGAGGAAAAGGAAGGAAGGAAAGTGAAAGAAAGGTAAGCGTAAGGGAAAGAAGAAAGGGAGGGGAGGAAAGAGGAGGAAAGAAAGAATGAAAGAAGAAAAGGAAGTGAAGGGGGCAAGTAAAGAAGAAAAGTAGGGGAGAAAAAGGAAGGAAAGAAAGTAAAGGGTAAGGGAAAGGAGAAAAGGAGAGAAGGGAAAGGAAGGAGAGAAAGTGAAGGAAAGATAAGAAAAGGATAAGGGAAAGAAGAAAGGGAGGGGAGGAAAGAGGAGGAAAGAAAGAATGAAAGAAGAAAAGGAAGTGAAGGGGGCAAGTAAAGAAGAAAAGTAGGGGAGAAAAAGGAAGGAAAGAAAGTAAAGGGTAAGGGAAAGGAGAAAAGGAGAGAAGGGAAAGGAAGGAGAGAAAGTGAAGGAAAGATAAGAAAAGGATAAGGGAAAGAAGAAAGGGAGGGGAGGAAAGAGGAGGAAAGAAAGAATGAAAGAAGAAAAGGAAGTGAAGGGGGCAAGTAAAGAAGAAAAGTAGGGGAGAAAAAGGAAGGAAAGAAAGTAAAGGGTAAGGGAAAGGAGAAAAGGAGAGAAGGGAAAGGAAGGAGAGAAAGTGAAGGAAAGATAAGAAAAGGATAAGGGAAAGAAGAAAGGGAGGGGAGGAAAGAGACGGAAAGAAAATGAAGGAAAGTGTAAGGGAAAGAAGAAAAGGAGAGAAGGGAAAGGAAGGAGAGAAAGTGAAGGAAAGATAAGAAAGGGTAAGAAGAAAGGGAGGGGAGGAAAAGGAAGGAAATAAAGTGAAGGAAAGGTAAGGAAAGGGTAAGGGAAAGAAGAAAAGGAAAGAAGGAAAAGGATGGAAAGAAGGTGAAAGAAAGGGAAGGGAAGGGTAAGGGAAGGAAGAAAAGGAGGGGAGGAAAGAGGAGGAAAGAAAGTGAAGGAAAGGTAAAGGAAAAGGAGAGAAGGGAAAGGAAGTGAAGGAAAGGTAAGGAAAGGAGAAGGGAAGGAAGAAAGGGAGGGGAGGAAAAGGAAGGAAAGGTGAAAGAAAGATAAGGAAAGGGTAAGGGAAGGAAGAAAAGGTGGAGAGGAAAGAGACGGAAAGAAAGTGAAGGAAAGAGTAAGGAAAAGAAGAAAAGAAGGGAAAGGAAGGAAAGAAAGTGAAGGAAAGGTAAAGGAAAAGAAGAAAAGGAGAGAAGGGAAAGGAAGAAAAGAAAGTGAAGGAAAGAGTAAGGGAAAGAAGAAAGGGAGGAAAGAGACGGAAAGAAAGTGAAGGACAGTGTAAGGGAAAGAAAAAAGGGAGGAGGAAAAGGAAGGAAAGAAGGTGAAAGAAAGATAAGGAAAGGGTAAGGGAAGGAAGAAAAGGAGGGGAAGCAAGAGATGGAAAGAAAGTGAAGGAAAGGTAAAGGAAAAGAAGAAAAGGAGGGAGGAAAGAGACGGAAAGAAAGTGAAGGAAAGGTAAAGGAAAAGAAGAAAAGGAGAGAAGGGAAAGGAAGGAGAGAAAGTGAAGGAAAGATAAGGAAAGGGTAAGAAGAAAGGGAGAGGAGGGAAAGGAAGGAAAGAACGTGAAGGAAAGATAAGGAAAGGGTAAGGGAAAGAAGAAAGGGAGGGAAGGAAAGAGACGGAAAGAAAGTGAAGGAAAGTGTAAGGGAAAGAAAAAAGGAGGAGGAAAGAGATGGAAATTAAGTGAAGGGTGAGGGAGATAACTAAAGGAGAGAAGGGAAGGAAGGAAAGTGAATGAAAGGTAAGGAAAGGGTAAGGGAAAGAAGAAAGGGAGGGGAGGAAAAGGAAGGAAAGAGAGTGAAGGAGAGAGTAAGGGAAAGAAGAAAGGGAGGGAGGAAAAGGAAGGAAAGAAAGTGAAGGAAAGGTAAGGACAGGGGAGGGAAGAAGAAAATGAGAGAAGGGAAAGGAAGGAAAGAAAGTGAAGTAAAGAGTCAGGAAAGGAGACAGGGAGGAGAAGGAAGGGAAGAAGGAGCCCTTGTCGCCCCCTTTTCCTGGCAAAGAGGGGGCGATCGAAGGGGGGGAAATAGAGGCTCGACTTCCAGGGGGGCCTTCCCCCCCCCCAAAAAAAGAAACCCACCCCAAAAGAAGGGAGAGAAAGAGCTGCTTTGGCGTTGCCATGATCTGGGGAACCTCTCGGCCTGGGCCAGCGGCGAGGCGCGAGCGCCCACTATTTCCAAAGGCCGGCATTTAAGAAGGGAAACAACAAGATTGGAGAGAGATACACACACACCCCGCGCACATACACAGTTACACACACACAACAGGGTTGCACAAGAACTTGGAAGTGGGAGAAAGAGGGGAGAGAGAGGGGGGGAAGCGTCCCAAAGTTTGGAGAGAGTTGGGTCCCTTTGGAGAGTCAACTTTGGAGAGGTTTGGAGGGACCCTTTTTGGAGAGCTTTTGGAGAGGTTTGGGGGACCCTTTTTGGAGAGCTTTTGGAGAGGTTTGGGGGACCCTTTTTGGAGAGCTTTTGGAGAGCTTTTGGAGAGGTTTGGGGGACCCTTTTTGGAGAGCTTTTGGAGAGGTTTGGGGGACCCTTTTTGGAGAGCTTTTGGAGAGGTTTGGGGGACCCTTTTTGGAGAGCTTTTGGAGAGGTTTGGGGGGACCCTTTTTGGAGAGCCTTTTGGAGAGCCTTTTGGAGACCCTTCCGGGGACTTTTCTCTCCCACTCTCTCTCTCTCTTTCTCGGGCAGCCCCTCCCCCTCCTCCTCCTCCCCTCGCCCCCCCCCTCCCCTCCAATATGGACCTACTTTTGGGCAGTTTCCTGGCTCTCGCCTTGGATCGCATGGTGCCGCCGGCGTGGATGGTGAGATGCCTCCTTGAACCCGCAGCAACTCTGCCGCGCCAGCTTCATCTCCCCAGCATTGTCAGTTTGGACACCTTCGCACATGCGCACAGACGGGCTTCAATCTGACACCCAAAAAAAACTGGGGGGGGGGAGAGAAAGGGAAAAGAGAGAGAGACTTTGGTGGGGATTCCTCCCCGTCAGGGGTGGGCAGAGGGATGTGGCGTCCGCGTCTTCTCCTCCTCTTTCTCTCTCTCTCTCTCTCTCTTTCCCCTCCACCTCTTCTCTGCTCCTATCCCTTGCTTCCTCTCCCTCCCTCCCTTTCTTTCCCTGGATCTGCCCCTTTAAGAGAAGGCTCCCCACTACTCACCCCAACCGGACAATCTGGAAAGATGGAAGGGACAGCTCTCCCTCTCTCATTCTCTCTCTTTCAGAGGTGACTTTGGAGCCTGTTTTGGGTCTTTTTGGGGGTCTTCCTGGAGGTGGGTGGCCTGGGACACTGCCTGAGTCTCATTTTGCTCCTTTTGCTCCTTCTTACTCTAGGATTACTAGGGTTATGGCTTGATATGACTTGTATTTTCTATTGAATTACATTGTAGTATCGCATTGTGTTATTATATTATTATATTTATATTATTATATTATTTATTTATATTATATTATATATTTATATTATATATTTATATTATTATATTATTTATTTATATTATATTATATATTTATATTATTATATTATTATTATATTATATTATTATTTATTTATATTTTATTATTATATTATATTATTATATTATTATATGTATATTATTATATTATTATATTATTTATTTATATTATATTATATATTTATATTATATATTTATATTATTGTATTATTTATTTATATTATATTATATATTTTATATTATATTATTATATGTATATTATTATATTATTTATTTATATTTTATTATATATTTTATATTATTATATTATTATATGTATATTATTATATTATTATATTATTTATTTATATTATATTATATATTTATATTATTATATTATATTATTATATAATAATATAAATATAATAATAATAATAATTAAGAGGTAATGATTATCTCTTCCAACTCTAGGATTCTATGATTCTATTATTATATTTATATTATTCTTACAGTCAGAAAGTTTTTCCTCATGTTCAGGTGGAATCTTCTCTCTTGTAGTTGTATTATTATATTATATTTATATTATTATGTTATTATATTTATATTATTATGTTATATTTATATTATTATATTATTATATTTATATTATTATGTTATATTTATATTATTATGTTATTATATTTATATTATTATGTTATTATATTTATATTATTATGTTATATTTATATTATTAAATTATTACATTTATATTATTATATTATTATATTTATATTATTTATTATTATATAAATATATATTATTATATTTACATTATATTATTATATTTATATTATTATATTAATATTAGAATCATAGAATCATAGAATCAAAGAGTTGGAAGAGACCTATTTATATTATTATATTATTCTATTCTTATATTTATATTATTATATTAATATTAGAATCCTAGAATCATAGAATCAAAGAGTTGGAAGAGACCTCATGGGCCATCCAGTCCAACCCCATTCTGCCAAGAAGCAGGAATATTGCATTCAAATTACCCCTGACAGATGGCCATCCAGCCTCTGTTTAAAAGCTTCCAAAGAAGGAGCCTCCACCACACTCCGGGGCAGAGAGTTCCACTGCTGAACGGCTCTCACAGTCTCGAAGTTCTTCCTCGTGTTCAGATGGAATCTCCTCTCTTGTAGTTGTATTATTATATTAATATTATTATATTATTATATTTATATTATTATATTAATATTATTATATTAATAATAAGAAAGGAGATTCCACCTGAACATGAGGAAGAACTTCCTGACTGTGAGAGCTTTGGAAGCTTTTAAACAAAGGCTGGATGGCCATCTGTCAGGGGTGATTTGAATGCAATATTCCTGCTTCTTGGCAGAATGGGGTTGGACTGGATGGCCCATGAGGTCTCTTCCAACTCTTTGATTCTATGATATGACTTGTGTTTTCTATTGAATTATATTGTAGTATCGCATTGTATTATTATATTATTATATTAATATTATTATTATATTAATAATATAACATGATATAATCCTATAGTATATCATACAATCATAAATATATTATATTACTCTATATCATAATATAATATAATATAATATAAATTTTCTATTGAATTATATTATAGTATCACATTGCATTATTATATTATATTATTTATATTATTATATTAATATTATAATGTGATTATATTAATAATATAACATGATATCATATAGTATATATCATACGACCATATATATATTATATTATACTGTATCATCATATAATGTATATACTATATCATCACATAATATGATATATTGAAAATATAATATAATATATATTGATTATATATAGTATATCATCATATAATGTATTGTATATAGTATCTCATCATATAATGTATATATTATATCATCATATAATGTATATTCTGTATCATGATATAATATATATGTATATTCTTTACGATTATAGTACATATATATAATCTTATAGCATGTGTGATTAATATATATATTATTCTATATACTATATCATCATATCATATATATATATATTGATCATATATACTATATCATCATATAATGTATATACTGTATCATGATGTAATATATGTGTGTATGAGATATTCTTTATGATTGCAGTACATATTATATATAATCTTATAGCATGCGTGATTAATATATATTATTCTATATACTATATCATCATATAATATATTCTATATACTATATACTATGTATTATATTATTCTATATGCTATATCATTATATAGTATATTATATATACTATACAATATACATTATATTGTTCTATATACTATATCATCATAAATATGTTGTATATACTATATCATCATATAATCTGATATATATTGATTATATATACTATATCATCATATAATATATATGATTCTATGAGATATACTTTATGATTATAGTACATATTATATGTAATCTTATATAAATCTAATATCTTACCTTATGTGTGATTAATATATATTATATTATTCTATATACTATATCATCATATAGTATATTATATATACTATACAATATACATTATATTGTTCTATATACTGTATCATCATAAATATGCTGTATATACTATATCATCATATAATCTGATATATATTGATTATATATACTATAGCATATAATGTATCATGATATAATATATATATGTGATTGTATGAGATATACTTTATGATTATAGTACAAATTATATGTAATCTTATAGCATGTGTGATTAAAATATGTTAAATTATTCTGTATATTATATCATCATATAATATATTATATATACTATATAATATATGTTATATTGTTCTATATACTATATCATCATATAATATATTGTATATACTATATCGTCATATAATGTATATACTATATCATCATATAATATATGTGATTGTATGAGATTTACTTTATGATTATAGTACATATTATATACAATCATATAGCATATGTGATTAATATAGTATATGTTATACGATTATCTATACTATATCATCATATATTATATATACTATGTAATATACGTTATATTATTCTATATACTATATAATAATATAGTATTATCTATTGATTATATATACTATATCATCATATAGTATATTGTATATATTATATAATCATATAATATATATGTAATTGTATGATATATGCTATAAGATTATATACTATAATCATTTATATACTATATAATATATATATACTATAATCATATAGTATTTTATGATTAGTAGTATTGTTCTTGTTTTTTATTCTATTATTAGCATTTTTATTTCATATTATTCCTGTTTTGTATTTTATTACTATATTATATTATTGTATTAATATATATATATATAATTGTATAATTATTATATATTAATAATATAACATTATTATATTATATATTAATGACATAACATGATCTAATCATATAATCATTAATCTAATATACTAGATTAATCATATATACTATATGATTTTATATATAATGTGTACTGTAAAATATAATATATTAATCATATATACCATACCATATAATCATACAATACATACAATATTAATCACATATACTTTATGATTATATATAATGGATACTATATAATCATTCAACATATGATTATCTCATGTTATATTATTAGTATTTTATATTTTATTAGTAGTAGTATTCTTATTCTATTATTAGCATTATTATTTCATATTATTCGTATTTTGCATTTTATTATTATATTGTTATGCTGTATTATATATTTATATGATTATATAATATATACTATATGATTATATCATGTTATGTTATTGTGTTATATTAATAATTTATATTTTATTCATTATATTAGCATAATCTTATTATTTCATATTATTAGTGTTTTGTCTTTTATTATTATATTATTCATGCTTAACATTTTATTATGACATTATTAGATCATATCTACTATATGATTATATCATGTTATATTATTAGTATTTTATATTTTTATTATAGTATATTAGCATTAGTATTGTTTTATTCCCATTCTTATTCTGTTATCAGTATGATTATTTCATATTAAATTCATATTAAATTCATATTAATATTAAAATACCTGTTGTATTTTATTGTTACAGTGTATTATTGATGTCTTATATTTTATTATATATTATTATATAATATATATGATTATGTCTATTATTATAGTATATCATTAGTAGTATTGTTCTATTATTGTATTTGTGTTTTATTATTATTATTATATGCTATTATTATATCATTATATTTCGTTCTTATACTATATTATTATTATTTAATATTGTATTATTATATAATAACTCATGGTATTAGTATTTTTATATTATTATTACTACTACTATTGTATTATTATGTTATGTTATGTTATGTTATGTTATGTTAGTGGTGATATTGGTATTTTTATATTATTATTACTACTCCTATTGTATTGTTATGTTATGTTATGTTATGTTAGTGGTGATATTAGTATTTTTATATTATTATTACTACTATTGTATTATTATATTATGTTATTTTATGTTAGTGGTGATATTAGTATTTTTATATTATTACTACTACTATTGTATTATTATATTATATTATGTTATGTTAGTGGTGATATTAGTATTTTTATATTATTAT